AAATCCTATGCCTATTCACCTCGCCTTCGGCGAATAATTGTTAAATATAACCGGATGTACGCAGGCTACCATTAGACAGGCCAAAGTCGGAAATCCCGTTTAGAATTTTACGGATTCGTCATTTTTCAGTACATCAGTACATCATCCGTGAAAAGTTTTCGTTTTAATGGTGGCTTGTTCTTGAGTTCGTTTCGAATTGTTTTGTTATCCGACACATTTTTTATCATATAGCCCATTTGTTTGTGATCAATGCCTATGGGGGCCCTTCTGGTCAAAATCATGGGAATTATTTTTAATAAAACAGAATTAATAAAACTGTTTGTTCAGTTATTTTCATGGTGTTTCAGAAATAATTACATCTACCCTGTATAATTTTGACCAGAACGGGCCCCCATATTTTATCCTCATCGCTTCACACAATTAAGAAACCCATGAGTGTGACCCTAAAAGCCTGAACAGTGGAACGGTGGAACGGCGGAGTGGCGCGGAAAATGAGCCCAAATCCTCAAACACGGAACGGCGGAAAATGACCCCAAATCCTAAAACTTGGAACGGCAGAAAATGACCCCAAATCCTAAAACACGGGACGGCGGAAAATGACCCCAAACCCTAAAACATGGAACGGCGGAAAATTGCAACATACGTTTCCTGGTCACGTTTGCATAGATTTAATCAAACGATAATATCTCATATACTTGTAACTGTGAGAACATCACTGACAGGAACGTTTTCAGGCTTCTCAAAATATAACGACGTTCAGCCCAGCTCCAAATTTAGACTAGCGTGAGAGCAAGCCTCCGTTACGAACCCTTCAATACGAGCGTTTCTTCATCTACGAATTAGTTTTATGTCGTGAGCAACACTAGGTGAAGAGAGGTTTGCACGTGGTAATGCGCGTGGGAATTTCTCATAGCGTGAAAAGACAAAGAAAGTTAGCAGAAGGAAGCCGTCAAGAAGAATTTGAAGAATTTCTTCTCGACCAGGCGTCCAAAACACCACCATCCTACCAGGAAACGTATCAAAGTTACAATTGTTTATTGTAATGTGGTATGTCAAGGTAATTTTCACATGCTGTGCGACTTTTTATGCCGCGACTAGAACTCTTGGCAAATTTAGCATAACAAAAGGTAACTAAACAGGTTTACAACGCGAAAACGCAGCTATCTTTATGTCTAATGGTTCATTATTATTCATACCACTCAGCAAAAGGAAAAAAAAGTTAATTACATGTAATTTTAGTTACGCGCGTTATAGTCGTGGGAATGAATGAGCTAAGCGCTTAAGTGTCTTTGTACAAAATTCTTGCAACATGCCCTGACATCCGTTCCATGTTTTAGGATTTGGGGTCATTTTCCGCCGTTCCATGTTTTAGGATTTGGGTCATTTTCCACCATTGCGCTATTCCACCGTTCTAGCTTTTAGGGTCGCCCAACCCATGAGGCCATGTGCGCTGCCGAATGAAGCCTGTGCGTACTTTTGGTCTCTCAGAAGATCATAAGGTGATCGGCCCATTAAGAAAACGTTCATGGATGCATAGTTAAAAGAGTCTCCTCGATTAACTAAGATGGGATAGATGATATTACATTTAAGTCTTGCGATTGAAGTGGTCAGCAGTTTGATGTTGAATTTAAGATGGCGGTCAATATCGTGGACTGTATCGAACTGACAATCATATAGCTGGCAAGCTCAAAATACATAAAGATATGTACAACTACACGATTTACCATATTCATAACGTATTTTATCCGATCAATACATGACTTTTAAGGGTACTCCATTTAGGTACTCCATAGGGTACTCCATCGAGTAGGGCTCCGCGTTTTTGTCATCTACCCGTTTCAATGGCATTCTTCAGTTGGTTGAAATAAAAAATTCTATAATTACATGAAAATTTATTCATCTTAACCCACTTTTACACAGGTTACATAGTTTGAGATGGACTGGGGTTGGATTAAGCGAGGCTAATGTTTATTAATTTTAAATTCCTAAGGGAAATCAGCCAGAATGTCTGGGAAAACCTCTCATACAGCTCTTTCAGCGGCGATATCTCAAGGAATTTTAGGCTCTCCATCTCTTATTTATAAACCAGGAAAGCCTAAGCATGCAGGTCTGTTTTACGATCTCGACGAATTCGAATCTGGACTCAACAGGGCAGAAGAAGCTTTTGGTGAAGGTAAGCAACTCAACAAGGTGTAGCAAAGCCTTAGATCGTCTTGCCATAATCGCATATTTCTTAACATTGTCGATCGTCATTAAGTTGAGGAACCAACGTGTTCCAAACTATTCCTCCTCTACGAGCTACAGAGTTCCTCATCTAGTAGGTGTTAAAACGAGGGACATCAATTTTCAGTTTCTTCCTACGTTGATATCGCTTGATGTTATCATTGTTCTTAATAATAGCTGACATAGCGTCTGGAGTCAGGTTATTATGGATTTTATACATAAGCTTAGCTAAGCTAATTTTATACATAAAGGCTAAAGGAGACCAGTTAGCCTTTTTCATAACATCAGCATTAGACATCTCCCAAGGTAGCTCAAAGATAATTCTCGCAGCTCTACAATGCAGTGCTTCTAATGCCTTAAAACCTTCCTTATTTCTGAGACCTCCCCATAATGATATTCCATATACGATCGACGGCGTAATAACTCTAAAATACAAGTCTAATAACATATTCTTTGGAAGCAATTTGTTAAATTGCTGATTAGGACCATTTGATTATGTTGAGTGACAAGGTATTGGACATGGTCGTGCAAAGAGATAGCTGTGTTCATAGAAAAATGTCGGGATGACAGAAAGCTTAGTCTTCTCCAAAATCTTGGTTCCCAAGCTCTCCAAAGCTTTCTCACATGTAAAGTTTTAAAAGTAGCCCAAAGACAACAAGTTAGCTAATAATGCTTTGCTAGAATATACACTGGAAAGAAAAAATGTGCATCAGAGTTGAGCTACAACATTCAGTTTGAAAACTTTGTTATTGTGAGCAATGATTCATTTGTGTAAAATTTTGACAACATCTTTGTGGGTGTTGTCAGCTGTCATCAAAGGAAACAATCTAGAATTTACAGATACACCACAGTTTGGTTGTGTATTAGAAATTTTAAAATCTTTAGCACTCTAACAGCAGCACATATTTTCTACAGTATATATACCATTCTCTTTACATTTTTATGGCACTGACTAGATAATTTGTTAAACAATCAATTATTTCTATAGTTGGCAATCATTTCCTTTATTCTGATAACCTTTATGTTTTATTCAATAGTGATATAAGAAAAATTAGATGTTAGTCACCCTTAGGGGTTAAAAGTTAAAAACTTGACTTTTTTCTTGCATGCATAAGCTCTCTTGTAAGTGGAGGCCCTCAGAAATTGGACGAAGTGTACGTTAGTGGAGCTGCCCACCCTCAACAATCATTCCCATAAGTGGGTACCAAAGAAAAATAGACCTGAAGTTCACTTATAGGAGAGTTAATAAGGGCTTGTTTTTGACATGTCACACAAATGGAGGAGGCAGGGCCGAGTGGTTAGGGTGTTGGACTTGTAATCCGGTGTCCCGGGTTAGAGTCCTCCACCCTGCCACTCACTGGATTTGTTCTCGGTTGCTCCTATAGTTCAACTCCTTGGCAGCGCTCTGTAAATAGCCCATTGGTCTGCCTTCTGCCAGTGGGGATTTTCAAGCACTTAGTTAGTCTACATTGTGGCTGAAAAGCTCTTAAGGAGGAGCTTTAATTAACATATTTATTTATTTAAATGAACAGGTTGCTCTCCCATGGATGAATGGAGATTTGAAAAAAGAATCCCCACTGTTCGGTTGCTCTATTGAAAGTCATGTTTCTATTGATTTGCAAATTAAAGACAAATTTCATTACCAAGAGTCATTATTATGCATGGGGTGTCTGTTTACAAGAGAGCTTAAAATCAAATGATCACTTTCAAAAGTATCAGTCTTGGCACTTACAAGAGAATGTCCTCTGACGACAATGAGTAATTACAGAGTTTGACTGGGAGACAAAACTGGAAATTGACAAAAGTGTCTGTAAGTAGACTGAGCTGCCTGCTTATAATAGTGTCTGTTTGTGGAGAGTTGACTGTATTTTAAAATTGTTTCAATACCTCTTTCCCAGATTTTCTCCATGCGATTGCTATAAAGGCCAATCCAGTCTCAGCCATGCTGAAGATTATTCTGGAAAAGGCATGTAACTAGAATTTACTTTTCATTTTCATTGTAATAGAACATTACTGTAAGGAAGTTCTTTCAGGGGTATAGTGCAGAAATTCTTAAGCACAACCCCTCACCCACCCCAAAAATGCCAGTCTCAAATTTGTGTCATTTATCTAGGGTCATGGTCTGGAGTGTGCGTCAATCACGGAAGTGCTACATGGCATGGATCTTGGATTTCCTCCTGAGAAAATTGTGTTTGACTCACCTGTGAAAACAGAGCCAGAATTAAGTATGACTACCATTAGTTATCAACTGAAAGACTAGCTAGTAACCTTTGTAATGATATTTACAAGGATATGTGAGGAGGCTGGGCATTGCATGAAGTACCATTAAAAGTACATAATTTTTATGTAATATTTCAAAAACGATTGTGAGTGTTTCATCGGGGTTTCCTAACACGAGAAAACTGATGAAAGCACAGGGCCGTAGGCCGCGTGCTTTTATTGTTCTCGAGTGTTTGAAAACCCCAATGAAACACGAAGCACGAGTTTTTGAAATTGCTTCTCAATTGTGCATCATTAGCCAAGAACAATGAAAAATTCTGACTGATTTTGGCATCAGTGGGGTTTGACATTTTATCAAGCTCTAGGGTTTGATATTTCATCAAAGTATAGTGGAAAAGCCTCTGTCCAGTGTTTCATCGGGGTTTCTAAACACACACATGTGACCAAATTGGCGTATTGTGATTGGTTTGTAACTTGATGAATTATTATTGAGTTTGAGAATGAAATATAAATCATTTTGACTTGTGGATGAAATTCAAGTGCAGAAATGGTCCTTGCAGGTGGGCTACAATTTAATCCTTTGACTCCCATTGTTGATTATTAAATCTGATTGCTGATTATTTCCTGGAGCTGCTACACATTTTCCTTGTATATTGGTTATGAGAATTTGCTGTTCCTTGGGTTTCAATTCTAGTGACTGCAGAAAAGTAGCCTGAATAAATTCAGGATTTGACAAGAATCAAAATGTATGCCTCTAGTATCTGGGAGGCATGGTTTCAATTATCATCAAGGGTAAATTTTTCATTCTTCTTTTTTGAAATTGCTAAAATTGTAGTCTACCTAAAATGAGGATCATAATTTGTACTCTTAAGTGAAGAGTACATGTTACTTAATTTTAACACTTAATTTGTAAGATATTCTGTCAATAATTATGCAATTTGTTCTACTGTCATTCAGTGTGTTACAATGAGCATGTATTTTTTCCTTTCAGAGAAGGAATAAAAAGGCTTTTGATGTTCACTCTGTAATTATTTGTAATGTTTCAGAGTTTGCTTTAGAAAATGGTATTCATATAAATGTGGACAATTATCAAGAACTTGAGAGAATAACAGCTATAATAAAAGACCAAGGGTAAGTAAAGCATAATTTTATCAGCTGACAAGAGAATAATTTGTTATTAGTATATGTAATAGGACTACGTGCTGTTCAATTTGGAAATAGATGCATAAAAAAAATTCTCTAGACAGCTAAATTATTTAGACAAGGCCTTAGGCAAGCATGTAGTGCTCTTACTCATTGATTATACAACTGAGTCAGTTGTAATTGGGCATTGCTCAGAATTATGAATTAATTGCATAAGGATTAATTTGGATAGTTTGAAAAATTAATTAAAAATAGCTATGCTGACAATTTCAGATCAATTATACAGCTGTACAGTTAGTAATGTATTTCACAACTTTCCTCAGCTTTTTTAAAAGTCATTATTAATATATTACATGGATTATTCTAGAGAATTCCTCTGAGAATAATTTGTAATTAGTAATTGAATGTATTTTGCAACTATTCTATTTATGCCTATTAGGTGAAATAAGGTCAAGGAATATTAATTGATAAGTAGATGAATAAAAACTACAACAGCTTGGCATAGAGGAGGTAGTCTAAGAGTATAATGGTACCATGTACACCACATTAGGGTGGAAGAGTGGTTCATTAGCTTTGCTGCTTTTTCCCAAAGAAATGAGTGTGAATAAATCTTCTTGGAATTTTGAGCAGGTTATAATAAATATATTTCAAATTAAAGATGATCTCATGAATTATTTTAGAGATTTCCCCTGTTTTTGATCATGACTCTGTAAATAAGTTTTCCATTCTACTTAGCTCTCATTATGATAATAACATCCTGGGGGAGCAGAAATTAATACCTCTAGGTGCCTTGTGCTACAGAAACTACAGTTAGAAAAAGTGTTGGCTGGATGGATGTGTCACCGAGTGGCTGGAATACGGGCTTAACCTACATGTACCCTTACCTATTAGAAGAAGTAAAATGAAATATCTGGGATACATGGGACTGTTAAAGAGATTTGAGTAACCATGATTCAGAGTAGGCAGCACAATGTTATGCTTCTGTGCCGAAAATTGAGCATTAAGAATTCAGAATAGCCAACACATTGAAATGTTTGTTTTGACAACCTCAATAATTTGAAGGAAACTATATTCAATAATGCAATATTACTAATATGCAATACCTATAAAATTATATATTTATATACGTTGAGTAGAAAAATACGACGACTATGTTTTTATCCCTACAAGCCTGTTTTGTGATTGCTCACTCATCAGGGGATTTACATATATATTTATATTTATAGGAAGTCTGCAAGTCGATTTTCGCGTGGAACAGTGCTCAATACGTTGAAGCAGAGCAGAATAAATATTATGAGAGGAAAAAAGGACGTAACTACATTTCCCGACAAGCCTGTTTCGTGAATCGCTTCACTCTTCAGGGGTTTAATGAAAGAATATTCATGTGACTATCGTTTATATACTAGGAAAATTTGCATAATGCGCGGTAAACTTAAAAACTTTAAAGTTCAGTTGTTGCGTAGCAACGCTTTGTTTCTGTGTCGGCATGAAGATACGAGTTCGTTACGCTTATTTAGTGATGAGAGGTCGGGTCGGTAAATTATCAGGAATTTTTCTTTTAGGCAGAGGTTGCATCTTTTATTGGAGCTGTTGTAGGGAGAGTTAGATGATAAGATGCGCCATGAGATAGAATAGTCAATGTTGTCGTTCTTGAGTGTCCAGATGTGTTTGCTAAGTTCGGTAGAGTTTTTGTGCTTGGCGTGGCGGAATGATGCGGTGTGATTTCTGTGTCTTGTTTTGAAGTCGGTTTCTGTGAGTCCGATGTATGTTTCAGAGGTGTTGTTGTCGTTCCGTGTGACGGTGGCTTGATAAACGACTGAGGATTGAAGGCAGTTACCATTGAGCGGGCAATTGTTCTTTTGTCGGCAGTTGCATGTTTTGTTGGTTTCCGTGCCGTCTTTGTTGTCTTTCGTGTAAGGTGAGTGGGACGAGTGTAAGATGCGCTTGTTGTGGTTGTCGATGACCTGTTTGGTGTTGTTCATACAGCTGTAACTGATTTTGATGGTGTTGCGGTTAAATATTTTGCGGAGGCTGTG